ATAAGTGAAGTGTATGTTAGCTGTGTTAACCATTTGTAGTTTGGTTCTGAAAAGGAAAGTTTTTATGTTTGGTTCCTGACAAAGTGTCCTGCTGACTTCTGGCGATGTTCTGTGGTTCAGCGTCTCTGAACCACAAAGAGCTGAATAAGGTTCATGTCCCTCAGGCTTCAGAAGAAAAATGTTTGGGGTTTTTTGGCATAACTCTGTTCTGAATGAAAACCTGTTGAAACATTGCCTGGTTTAGTAATAAACTTATCAAAGTCACCTTTTCAGGCTCCCTGGTTTCTCTTTCCATCCATCTAAGGTCCTTTGTTTTCCTGCCGAGGAGTTTTTTTTTTTTTCTCCCTCTGAGGATTTCTTGGCTTTCTTCCCTAATGTTATGTAACGTAGTTTCCCGGCTCGTTCTGCCGCTTCCTTTCACAGCAAACTTGCTAAAGGATCTGATGGCAGCCATTGGAACAATAGCAACCGTTTCATATTTTCATCAAAGAATAAGTTTTATAGAGGAAAAAGGGTATAAATATTTCCTATAACACGGTATACACCAGGCATCCCCAAAGTGGGTCCCGGAGGGCTGCTGTCCTGCAGGTTTTAGAGGTTTCTCTGCTTCAGCAAAGCTGATTTACATTAAAAGCTGATTAACAGGCTTTTGCTGAACTACAATCATTAGAATCAGCTGTGCTGAAGCAGAGAAACCTCTAAAACCTGCAGGACAGCAGCCCTCTGGGACTCACTTTGGGGATGCCTGCTATACACTCACCGGCCACTTTATTAGGTACCCCATGATAGTAACGGGTTGGACCCCCTTTTGCCTTCAGAACTGCCTCAATTCTTGGTGGCATAGATTCAACAAGGTGCTGGAAGCATTCCTCAGGGAGTTTGGTCCATATTGACATGATGGCATCACACAGTTGCCGCAGATTTGTCGGCTGCACATCCATGATGCGAATCTCCCGTTCCACCACATCCCAAAGATGCTCTATTGGATTGAGATCTGGTGACTGTGGAGGCCATTTGAGTACAGTGAACTCATTGTCATGTTCAAGAAACCAGTCTGAGATGATTCCAGCTTTATGACATGGCGCATTATCCTGCTGAAAGTAGCCATCAGAAGTTGGGTACATTGTGGTCATAAAGGGATGGACATGGTCAGCAACAATACTCAGGTAGGCTGTGGCGTTGCAACGATGCTCAATAGGCTCTATGCACAACTCCACTACTTCCTGAATTTAAAGCAGCTCCTTTGTTTCCTGTCTTTCATGATTGGATGCTCTGATTAATCCAGGTGTGTATGACCTAAGTAACTGGCCAGACACACCTGGATTAATCAGTTCGTCCAGTAATGAAAGACAGGAAACAAAGGAGCTGCTTTAAATTCAGGAAGTAGTGGAGCTGTGCATAGAGCCCATAGGTACCAAGGGGCCCAAAGAGTGCCAAGAAAATATACCCCACACCATGACACCACCACCACCAGCCTGAACCGTTGATACAAGGCAGGATGGATCCATGCTTTCATGTTGTAGACGCCAAATTCTGACCCTACCATCCGAATGTCGCAGCAGAAATCGAGACTCATCAGACCAGGCAAAGTTTTTCCAATCTTCTGTTGTCCAATTTCCATGAGCTTGTGCAAATTGTAGCCTCAGTTTCCTGTTCTTAGCTGAAAGGAGTGGCACCCGGTGTGGTCTTCTGCTGCTGTAGCCCATCTGCCTCAAAGTTCCACGTACTGTGCGTTCAGAGATGCTCTTCTGCCCACCTTGGTTGTAACGGGTGGTTATTTGAGTCACTGTTGCCCTTCTATCAGCTCCAACCAGTCTGGCCATTCTCCTCTGACCTCTGGCATCAACAAGGCATTTCCGCCCACAGAACTGCCGCTCACTGGATGTTTTTTCTTTTTCGGACCATTCTCTGTAAACCCTAGAGATGGTTGTGCGTGAAAATCCCAGTAGATCAGCAGTTTCTGAAATACTCAGACCAGCCCTTCTGGGACCAACAATCATGCCACGTTCAAAGTCACTCAAATCACCTTTCTTCCCCATACTGATGCTCGCTTTGAACTGCAGGAGATTGTCTTGACCATGTCTACATGCCTAAATGCACTGAGTTGCCGGCATGTGATTGGCTGCTTAGAAATTAAGTGTTAACGAGCAGTTGGACAGGTGTACCTAATAAAGTGGCCGGTGAGTGTATTTTATAGTGAAGAGGATTAGGGCCACTAAGCCTCTAAACAGCTGAGAAAACCGGCTAAACTTTTCAGTTTATCTACCAAAGAAGGGAACTACGGAGCCCCTCTGATGACATGGTCAAAAAAATTTTTTAATTGTGGCCACGAAGTAGTATAACGTGCGCACGAAACACTTAATAATATTAATATCATTCCTGGACAACTGGGTAAGCAAATGGAGCGCGCCGTAGACCTTAGAGAAGGTGTGCTCCATTTGCTTACCCAGTTGTCCAGGAATGATAAGTATTTCGTGCGCATGTTAAACTTATTGCGTGGCCACGAAGTAGTATTTCGTGCGCACGTTATACTACTTTGTGGCCACAATAAAAACATTTTTTTGACCATGTCATCAGAGGGGCTCCGTAGGGAACAGCCTCTGGAAATGATTGGGAATTTTTGCTTTTTTTTCTTCTGCAGAGGTAAAATGAAAGTGGAAATGGTTAAAAAAAAAAAATGTCGACCACGAAATACTACTTTGTGGCCACGCAATAAGTTTAACGTGCGCATGAAACACTTATTAATATCAATAAATCCGCCCGTTTTCAGGCTTATGTTAACTGTAATGACTTATCTTGGACAGGCTGCTATGTAAACGGACCTTTAGTCCTTCGTTTAGCTATGCTGCGGTTGTTTACACTACGCCTTTTCCACCTAAAATGGCGTCTTAGCAACAAATGTCACATGACTGGGGGAGACCGACTGGGTAAGCAAATCGAGCGCGCCTTAGGCCTTAGAGAAGGCGCGCTCGATTTGCTTACCCAGTTGTCCAGGAATGATATTAATATTATTAATAAGTATTTCATGCGCACGTTAAACTTATTGCGTTGCGTGGCTACGAAATACTACTTCGTGGCCACAATTAAAAAATTAAAAAAAATTTTTGAGCATGTCATCAGAGGGGCTCCGTAGCATTTAGTTTCAGACTCCGTTGTTGAAGTTTAGGCCAAACGTCATCAACCATACAAGACTTTTTTTTTTTTTTTTTCCTTTATTCCAGCCAAATAAAGTTTCTTTGGAGTCTTTTAAAAAATTCAAACTGATTATTGCTAAATATCGACTATATGAAAGTTTTCATCTTTAAACTATTTAAGTTTTAAGGTTTAGGAATAAAGAAAAAAGAGACTTTATAAAAGAAAGCCCTGATTTGTTTTTTTAGCCTGACCAAAATAAAAAAATCTAAATGTACTGTTGCTAGGTTAAGAGGTTTACAGATGTTGGTGCGTACAGATGTTCTTTGCTTCAGTTTTCACCAATTTAGTGTTTTAACATTCTCAATTTTTAATCCAGCTTTGATCAGCATTCATTAATTTCTAACCCATGTTTATTCCCATTTAAATTTATACTACTTTTTTAATGGTACCTTTATAAATTGTTTTACTTTTTTTAATTAATTTCTGAATTTTAGAAATTATTACATTTTTAAACTATGATTCTTGTGTAAAACTATTTTAATAGCTTTTCTTTTCATCAAAACTTCAGTTTTTATCTTTAGGTTTAATTCATTTCAATTTTTTAATCCAGTTTTAAATTATTGTTCAGTTTGTTTAAAACTTCCATAACCATGGGCGGTTCTAGACGGGGGACCAACGGGGGCCTGTGCCCCTGTAGATAATGTCCTGGCCCTTATATGGCCCCTGTACCGGACCCCCTGTTGAAGTCCTTTGTTTTAGATATTTATAGAGCCACCATTTTTTTTTTTTTTTAGGTTCTTATTGCTATGTTAAGGGATTTTTATTTTTAATTTAACAATAATCCAAATGAGCTTTTTCACGCCAAAAAATATATATTTTCAGTTTAAAAGACATTTTAATTAAACACATTAGAATGGAAATTTCACTTTATGCAGCTCTCTTACTATATTTGAATCCTTTTTTTTTTTTTGTTTCAAAATTTGGGTGAAAATTTTTGTTTCTTCATCTTCTGTGGCTCCATGAAAACACGCCCTCAGATTACAGGGTGTGAATAATTCTCAATTTTCAAAACACAATTTGTGGCATTTTTATAGCATAAATATGGACCAGGATTGGGGCCACTGAAAAAAATAAAGTTAACTGATTTCCTAATATTAACTGATGAACTAATATTTTAGTTTAATATGGGAAAATTCCCAGAATTCTGACTTTAATCTGAGAATTGTAGATCTTAATGTAGATAGGCTCCATGAAGGCAGAGACGTGGAGCACTCAGCTTTACTGATAAAGATGTGAGTTGATTGGGAAGAACAGGAACACATTGGTGAAAAATTATGGAATTAGGCAACTTTTTACGTCCCTGAGGGTCCCTGCTGATGCTATTTGATTAATGGAAGAGCAGAAGGTGATTAAAACAAGAGAGCTAGTCTCTAAAATAGACATGGCTATGGCTAAACATGCTAGCATGTTTGTTAGCTGTCAGAATTATGAGATTAAAATCAGAATTCGTTCCATTTGTATGGTATAAATCATCTTAAAGGTTAAAAATACATAAATGGTAAGAACAAATTCCTACACGCTCCGCCATAAAGTGTTTCCTGTCAGAAATGAGCAGAACCAGTTCCGTCTGTAAAACCAGATTAATTTTTTTCTCTTTCTGCGGTTCTGGTGCAGCCTGTCAGACTGGAGCTTTATTTTGAAAGGGTTGTAGCGGAAGCGCCCGTCCTCGCGTTCCCATCTTGACCCAGAGGTTATAAATAAGGGAGAGGCGGAAGGTTTCCGTGTCCAGCTGCACTCAGCGGGACTATAGAGGACAGGGAGGCTTCAGCTCCGCATTCAGCCTGATAAAGCCGCTCATTGGAGCCATGGCCAAGCCGTTGACCGACCACGAGAGGAGGAAGCAGATCTCCGTCCGGGGGCTAGCCGGGGTGGAGAACGTAGCGGACCTGAAGACTAATTTTAATAGACACCTGCATTTCACCCTGGTGAAGGACCGGAACGTCGCCACCAAGCGGGACTATTACTTCGCCCTGGCGAACACGGTCCGGGACCACCTGGTGGGCCGCTGGATCCGGACCCAGCAGCATTACTACGACAAGGACCCGAAAGTAAGCAGCTGATGCCGCAGTCTGCGGCGGCACGTCCGCACAGCTGATGTGATGAGCGCGCGGGGAGGGGAGGGGCTGAGGAGGCGAGGGATGAGAGGCCTCGCGCTTCTCCCGCTGCGGCGTCGAACTTCGTGTGTGTGTGTGTGTGTGTGTGTGGGTGCGCGCGCACGTCTCCTGTGCCGCTTTCCTCCTTTTATAGTCACGCACAGGATTCCCGCTGTTCACGCGCACTTTTTTCTCGCCTATGTTCTAGCAGCTCCGGCTCATGCACGCGCCTGGTGTCTTTTCCATCGACTTCTGTGACCTTCACTGTACCCCCCCCCCCACCCCACACACTGCTGCAGCGACACGCAGGAATCGGCCCACTCTTCTAACACACGCAACCGGTTGTTGGAACGCAGTTGCGTAACGTGATGGCGTCCATTCATCCCCTCCACGAGCGGCCGCATCTCAAAATGGCCTTTTTAGAACCTGGTAAACTTCACGATCACAATGTTGTGTGCAAAAAAAGTTAAAGGAATATTTTTACAGTTTACTTATTTGCACTTTTTCAAATATTTTTTTTTTTTCAAATTAGTTTTGGGAAACTGCATTCTTCTCAAATCTCATTTTTCAAATTTTACCCTTCACTGTCCCTGTGAGGACCAGTCTTGTTTTCGGCAGCCATCTTAGATTTAGTTTATATATTTTATATGCGATAGTTTTAGTCGACTAAAACTTACAGCTCTATTCTAGATGCTACAATAGCAGGGTATAGAATGCTGCCATGCAGTTCATCATTGCTGTTCGACAGAAAACTTTGATTTAAAGAATTTAAATAGGTTTTTTGTTAAGAATTAATGCCCTACTATATAAAAAAGTGTCTCACAAGAGCTGTGAAAGTCGCAGAACTAGTTCAGCACATCCTATTGGTTAATATAGCAGACAGACAAGCTAACAAAATGTCCAATAAAGGAAGGATTTTAGACATCCACGGTTTCCATCCCAAAGCAAACACTTCCTGATCTACTATGAATTCTGCATTAAACACAGATCAATAAAATCTGCATTGCTCCAAAAAACAAAGAAAAAAAATTATTCTTCTTTCTACTTTGACAATTTTTGTTTTATTTTTTTAATTTAGCCCTTAGTTCCTGCTGCTCAGGGGTCAAAGTAGATTTAAATTCACAGGGTTTCATATTAAAAAGGAGAGAACCTACATCATTGCCATGGCAACCCAGACCTAAATTGAATGTCTACGCTACCTAAAATGTTGAAACATTTAAAAGAAACCGAGAAATTTTTTTAATGACATTACAAGGAAACTTATACATTATATTTAAATACAAACTAGAACAATTGGAGAGAAATATTCAAAGATCTATGTACTTTTTCATCAGGCTATTTAATAAATAGAAATAAACAGAAAGCAATTAATTATTTGCTTTAGATATAATTTAGGAATTCCTTTTGGCAGAAAAGGAAGAATGTTTAGCATCACCTCTTGTGAGCTGGAAGAAATAAAATCTTGATAGTTAGACAAATATGTTTTTTATGCTAGGCAGAGGATGATCAGCCACATTTAGTTTATTAAGTAGCGAGAGCAGGAAGAGCCGTACTGCTGAGAGCGAACCATCGGAGTCGCCGCGCATTTCTGCAGAAGCACAGCTGGAAGATCAGAGTTCAGCCTGCAGTACCGGACCATGGCGGGTTATTTTCTCAGACCATAACGCTGCTGCCAGGGCGGCAGCATCACGGCTCATACTGCTTGGCTTGTCTAACAGATTACAGCACAATGATGTCTGAAACGCCACCCGCTATCATTTTTAGGGTCTCATCAACAAAAACTCACACCTATGAGTCGCCATGTTTTTTGTCGTCAAAGATCCGTGTTTAGCTCCTCAGTTTTCGTCGTCATGAAAAAAAGGAGCGTCAGCAAAATAATTTCGTCATCATTGACGAAAACGACACAAAAATTTGGAAAAACGCCACAAAAAAAATTAGAAAAAAAGTTTGAAAAAAAATCTTGAGGGAAAAAAACGAATGACAAACTGTATAAATATCGGTTGTTGAACTTTTGCAAACACCTCATAAATGAATCTCACCTCCGGATGGTCCAGGAGTTAGGCTCCGTTTTAAAGGAGGACACATCCTTTGAGGATTGGAGGAGGTTCCACCTTCCATCGATTTTAAACTTTCATCAACCGTGTTGATAAAACTAACTGTTAAAGGTTCACTATGCAACCGGTGTTGATTTTCCAGCGAGGCTCCCCCCAGAGGGCGAAATTAAAAGTGCACTGTCGTAAATATGCACAGCTGTTCTCCTGGTTTCTCCGTCAAACCTGTTTTGAGCTTAGCAGACAGGCGTACGCAACAAATCACCATGTCTACTGCGGTATGTGACTAGCCATCGCTTATAACTTCAACAAAGAGAAATAAATGTTCATATACAAAATCATAATACAAACAATGACACTTTTTTTGGTCGGGGACTCATTTAGATAAAGGAAGAGGGACCATGCATTCCGTGGTTGACAATAAATTACAGTCAGACAAAAAACGCTTCTAGGGTCGTCGGTAAACGCTGGTTTATACATAACGTTACTAGCTTCGTGAGGTTTATGGCTTACAAACGCGACTACATTTTGTACTGGTTTCAGATTTTTAAGCAGCTCATTGCAAAACGCGATTGAAACCCAATCTGCGCAAAATAAGGAATTTAGTAAAGTAAATACACAGTCTTGAGATACTTCACATGTGAAGCAAGTTTGCCAAATAGCAAGCGATGCAGTTATCACCTACCGCAACAACAATGTTTAGGCAGCAAGCTAACTAACTTGCTAAACATCCCGCTAGCTACTTAGCTACTCAGCAACAGACCACAATCATACAAAAGTCGAAAAAAAGGCAGTACAAACAAGGACTAACACAGTGAAAGTATGAACATGCACACAGAGAGAGAGAAACCATTCCAATGTTACTTACAATCGCATCAGCAGAAACGCGAGGTCCGCGTCAGCCGTGCAGCCTTCTTTTTCTTTTAGCTCTCGCAATTCGGAAAAAGCTTGCCCGATGTTCACGCGTGTACGACTCCTCTCTGTCCAGAGCCCTTTTCCTCTTTCTTGCCTGCTCCGACATGGGCTTTCGCTGTTTTCACGCCATAATAACTGCACAAAGATCGCCACTGCGCTAGCAATGAGCATGCTTTTCACTGGGGGCGTGTAGCAGTTCTTGCCGTAAAGCAAGACCGACTGTGGGTGCGGGTCGGTGCTCCTGCAATTGCAAGTGCGGTATTTCCCCCACAGACCACCAGGGCGGCTGAGAATACCTTTGTTCAACCTGAAATGACTCATTTAATCATCCAAAACGTTATGGAACACATTAATTAACTGAAAAATGTTGCATAGTGTGCCTTTAACTTGAGATGAGAGATGCAGCGATCCAGCTTTTTGCAACAGTTTGCTCTTCATGGATGTTAGCGACAGCGTCGCTATTGGTCCACATACAGACCAACCAGAGGGGTAGAAACACCATTTGATAAGGATGTTTTTCAAAAAGAAAAAAATACTTAAAGAAAATAACTTTCATACTTTTTTTTTTTGATGAAGGTTTTTAAAGTTCTTGTTTTCAAACATATTTTCTTCATATTTTGCATTTATTCTTTTTAAACTTTTTCCATAAGAGGTAAAAATCAATCCACTGGATTTTGTATCAAAGTCTGCAGACGTTTCTCTTCCCATCCAGGAAGGTTTTTCAATTCAAAATGTCAGAAATAGCGTTTAGTTCCAGGTTTTATACAGTAGACCAACAAAGCCTTGTTTTAAATCAGGGTTTCCACGGGTTATTAAGTCATTAAATTATCTTTTTTTTTTATTATTATAGCCCTAATTGGTATTAAAAGTAATTAAATCTAACTATAGGGGCATTTAAAATGCTTTATTGAAAAAAAAAACTTTTATATGAATAATTTTGTCAGATATATCAGATATAACTGGTTCTGCACGTTTGCGGTGAACTGCTTCCAGTTGATCGTAAAGCCTTAAGTTCGGAAAAGAAGCTCAAGGCGCAGAAAAAGCTAGAGAAAATGCTAATTTTAACAAAAGTTGCTGGAAAACGAATTAGTCATCATGGCTGCAGCCTGTCAACAGTTAAGATGACGCAGTATTTAGCCATGTTTTTTATATATATAATATATATTAGTGATGGTGAGATGAAGCCTCATGAGGCTTTGAACCGTTTGGCCAAATTGCTTCAACGATCCCCACAGTTCATGAGGCTTCATGTGAACATGTCACCACCTACTGGTGGACAGCAGAACTACAGTTTTGCAATAAAATGTAATTTTTTTTGCAACTGTTTTTTTCCCCCTTTTAAGTTCCCTTGAAATTGTTAATGGTTGGTGTGTGTAATAAAATCTTTTGTAAGTTTATTTTAAGTGTAAAATTTCTTAGAACAATCATTTAAGGTGCACAGTTTTTCTGCCATTTTAGTGAAATAAACTCAAGCAGACAGTGAAAGTGTTTGAGCAAATCGGGTAATGATGAGCAAAATAAAAGGTGTTAATCATTTTTATTTAAACATGATAGTTTTTCCACATTTTTTGGTTTTAATCAGGTTGGAAGTCGTGTTCAACCAATCTTTTGTCTAAACCTAATTTAACCAATCTATATTTTTATTGTGGCAAAACAATGCCAATTACAGGTGCTGGTCATAAAATTAGAATATCATGAAAAAGTAGATTGATTTCAGTAATTCCATTTAAAAAGTGAAACTTGTATATTATATTCATACATTACATACAAACTCATATATTTCAGATGTTTATTTTGTTTAATTTTGATGATTACAAATGACAACAAATGAAAATCTCAAATTCATCATATCAGAAAATTAGAATATTACTGAAGACCAATAAAAACAAAGGATTTATAGAAATGTTGGCCAACTGAAAAGTATGAACATGAAAAGTATGAGCATGTACAGCACTCAGTATTTAGTTGGGCCTCCTTTGGCCTGTATTA